AGAGCAAATCTAATTTTAATCTAACCCCCTCAGTTATATATCCAAGAAACTTTCATGTGATTGATCTTCGACAAATTGTTTTATTTGATGTCATCCATTTTATGTCATTGATCAATTATTGCATGATACTTTCAAAAGGTTCATGCATCAAATCGTGACACATTTCATGTAATAATTGATTAATATTAATTTGAATCAATAGATAAAGCAAATAACTTTTTGTTTAGGGACCAATAGTAATTTTACCTATAATTTAAGAAAATTGAGTATAATTCAGCCTTTATTTTTATTTAAATACACTATATTGGTGAAAGAAGTGTGATCTCATAACCTTTTTTCTACACATAAAATATACTTAATTTCAGTTGATGTATTTGTGTGCTGTGGATGACTGTTTGGGAGTATGGTCATGGTTGTTTTTCAAAATGATTTTCATACTGAAATATTTTAAAATAATATATTTTTTTATTTTTTAAAATAATTATTTTTTATATCAGTGTATCAAAACGATCCAAAACATACAAAAAAAATAATTTTTAGCAAAAAACAAATTAAATTTTTATGAAATATGATTTACACTGCATATTAATTTAAAATATATTCACAACATCTTCCATTGCATATTAATTTAAAATCTCCCCACAGTATAACGCACTAATTGCTACTACCTAAAATAAATGATAGACTAATTATTATGATTTTTACATTTTCCTTCAATGTTTCTATCTCAAACATAACAATAATAATATGGAGAGAGCAAACTTAATTTTAATCTAACCCCCTCAGCTACATATCCAACAAACTTTCATGTCATTGATCTTTGACAAATTGTTTGATTTGATGCCATCCATCTATTTATTCAAATTTCATGTAATTGATCAATTATTGCATGATACTTTCAAAAGGTTCATGCATCAAATTGTGACACATTTCATGTAATAATTTATTAATATTAATTTGAATTAATAGATAGAGCAAATAATTTTTTGTTCAGGGACCAATAATAATTTAACCTCTAATTTAATAAAATTGAGTATAATTCAGCCTTTATTTTTTTAAAATACACTATATTGATGAAAGAAGTGTGATCTCATAATTTTTTTTTTATATATATACACTATATTGATGAAAGAAGTGTGATCTCATATTTTTATATATATATATATATAATATATATTTAATTTTGGTTGATATATTTGTGTGTTCTAAGTGATTGTTTAGAAATATGTTTGGGGTTGCTTTTCAAAATGTTTTTCATGATGAAATATATAAAAATAATATATTTTTATTTTTTAAAATAATTATTTTTTAGATCAGTGTATCAAAATGATCCAAAACGTATAAAAAATAATTTTTAGTAAAAAAAATTAAATTTTTATAGAACATGATTTATACTGTGTTCACAAATGGTGACTAAACTCTTGATCGAACGAAAAAAAAATAAAGTTTGTATAATATCTAATCCTTTTCCTAGATTGTTCAAATACTTGTTTTGATTTAATTCTATAAAAATTACACTCTTAAAATAATTTTTGTTTAGAATGTTAGTTTTTATATTAGTTTGTATATATCAAGATTATTTTCCTTAAGCTAAATAAAACTAAGAAATGATAAGAAATATATAATTTTTTTTTAACTATTAGTGGTTATTTGAAGATATGGTTTAATTTGTTTTTGATAAAAATTTGATTATTTTTTTATTTTAAATTAATTTTATTTTTATATTTTTTTAGTCAACGATCAACCCAACCCCTAGTTACGACCTTATGTATTAATATTAAAAATAAATTTTTTAAAAATATAATATTTTAATATATTTTAAAAATTAATTACTAGCACCCTTATAAAGTCTTGATAAGTTAAAAAGATGCCACAACCAGACTTCCTTTTCCTTATCCTTTTTCTTTTCCGACTTCCTTTTTATTTTATTTTAAATTTTCCTAAAAAAACGAGTGCGTTATTTAAAACATTTGTCAGAGGAGCGGAGGGCGGGGGGCAGGAGGGCCCACTGCCACGCCTGGGCCCAAAGTTCTTCACAGCATGGCCGAGAAAGCCTGTACCTTAGAGCCCACGAATTTTCCTTCCCTTTCGTCACAATTAATTAAGCTATTTGATAACACTTGAGAGGAAGAAATAAGAGCACCACTATAATTACAATAATGTCATTTTAAAAAGATATCATTTTCTTTTCTTAGCAGCCTTTTCATTTTCCTTTCTTTTTATAATCTCTTTAATTTTTATTTTATTTTGTTATTTTTCTATATTTTTCTTGTGTTTGAAATAAGCTTCGAATTAAATTTTAAGTTACAAAATTTTTACATTAACCTATTAAATTAGTTAAGCAAGGTTTAATAATCAGTGTTATTAAATTTGACATGACTTAACAAGTTGATCATAGACCTAATATAAATCTAGATTATTAAAAAAATTAAATGAGAGTTGATTTAACCAACTCGAATAACTTGATTATAACTTAATTTAACTTAAAATAATTTTATTTAAAATTTTTGAATCAAAATTTTTAAATTAGTCTATCAAATTAAATAAGATTTAATAATTATAAACGATATTATTAAATTTAACATGACTCAACAAGTTGACAAGAAACTTAACCTAAATCTAGATCATTAAAAAATAATAAGAGAGTAGATTTGGTCGAATTTAAATAATCTTATCATAACTTAATTTAATTTAAAATAATATTTTTTAATTTTTTATATTAAAATAAATATAATTTTAATTAATCAAATTAACCAATCTTATCTTATCCGTGATATTAGCAATTAGCAAAAGCAGGTTTAATAACTTCATTATGGTCGAGGATTATGAGGACATCTTTCCAAAAGATTATGCAAGATGTTCCCCATCTTGGATTACTTAATTTGAAAATTTACTTTTCCTGTAGCCGGAATGCGAATCATGCATTATTACTGATATTATTCGCTTTTCTGCAGCTTCATATCGGCTTTGGAATACAAAAGCCTTCTTATCTTCTACAGCTTGTTCCTTAAGCTCTCACCCCTTTTTAACCCTATGGTCGTTATTCAAACATCTGTGCTGCCCGCACGCCATCATTTTCAGAGAACTCTTGCTTTCTCAGGGAACAATAACAACATTAGTCAACAAATTTGCTGTCACAATTTTAAAAAATATAACTTAATTATCTGGATTTTAAATTTGTTTTTTATAAATTATTAATTTAAATTTTATAAATTTTAAAACTATTAAAGATTTATATTATTATAAATTTTAAAATTCATGAAATTAATTGAGATAAATCTAATTTAACTCAAATATTCATGTTAATAAAAAAAATATTGTTATCATGAACAAAGTCTAAGAGTTCAATATCTTAATTTTTAAAAATTTAATTTTTTTTATATATTGATATTAAAATAATTTTTTAAAAATAAAAAAATATTATCTTAATATATTTTTAAATAAAAAATATTTTAAATAATAACTATTATAGTAATCTTATGCTCCCCGAAATCCTCATTATAAATGCACCGTTTTAATTGATGAGTGGAAACAGAGAACCGGTCCTTTTGAGGCGTCCAAGAGATTGGCGCAAACAAGCAAAAAGTGAAAGGAGCAATAATTTATATCTCTCATGATAATGACTGATTCATTCATGCATTATGTTGAGTAATGGAAATTATGAACTGATTTTTTTATTAAATTTTGATTTTTTATTTCAGTTAATTTTTTTTAGTGTTTTTAATCCTTGTAATATACCAATATAAATAAATAAATAAATTATTTTAATATATTTTTAAATAAAAAACTTTAAAAATAATCTTATATATATGCTGATGCTTGTTATTTTCAATAAATTAAAAATATTTATCATGAAGATATACAATTAGATTTAATATAATTTTAAGGGGTGTAACTAGTTAAATTTTAAGTTTGATTTTTAGAAATGGAGTGACACGTACACAGATTTATATAGTTAAAATTTTAAAAATGAGTTAAAATATATGTAAATTGATACAGATATTTATAATAATAATAATAATAATAATAATAATAATAATTTAATTTTGTTGTGAATGAATACAGCCAATACATGCTAACGAATTAATTAAGATGCCTTCGCCGTACCTTCCCACCTGGTTGCCGGTGGTCCCCATTAACTTCCAACAGTCTCTCACCTCCCGGGGTTTGAAGCTACACCAGCTATCAATTAGTGGTTGAAACCTCCTCTCTAAATTCTTATGTCGCCCTAATTACAATAACTATCCTACATACCCTCATCACTACCGTCCATTACAGCCACAGAAAAAGTAAACGCTTGATATGCATGTCTCATTAAGCCACGTAGTCGGTTCCATGAATCTTATCTTCTGCGTACTCTACGTAACAGTTTCTTTTCACGTCCGTTAGCAGTATCTTTCGCATTAAAGTCTTGTCAATCTTCCCCTTTGACCCTTTCTCCACCAAGTATTTGAAAAAGTAATAGCTATGATTTTTTAAAATATTTTAATTTAAAAATATATTAAATATATTAATTTTAAATAAATTTTATGAAATTCTGATTGCACGGCTACCCCCACACGGCTCTAACACCAGCACCGATCCTAAAGTTTCCAAGACATTGCTTGTAAATACTTACCATTTCAATGCAACATGTCAATTTTTCCAATCCTTTTCTTTCATTTCTCTATTCCCATCTAACGTTTAACAGAAGTTAGGTTTATAAAACTTTCCAAATATTATTTATCTATCTATTAAATGACGTATCAATAATCATTTTGAGAATTAAATATTTAATAAAAAATATCCTTTTTAAAATTTATTTTTTTAATTAATATAAATATTTAGACTAATTTACGTGTATCTTGATAAATTTTCATTAAGTTATTTAAGATGCTTACATTAAGTTCATCTTAACAAGTCATTAAGAGGATGTTGAAACAATAGGTACCAAAATGAACTTTTACCCTTATTATTTCTTTACTCCTCTATAAATACCCTCACTTGACGCCCAAAATCTCTCGCGACTCCTTTTCAATTTCTCTCTACCACCACTTCTCTCTCTAAAAACCTGATATTTCCGCCTGCCATTTTTGTTCTTTGACTTTTTGATCTCCTGCCACCATGTCAACGATGGCAGAGATGGAGCCACTAACATCAGGAGCGAGCAATCGAATAATCCCAATCTTGAAAACCCTAAGAACTTCTCTCCTCTACATTCACGCACTTCTCTTTTCCGTCCTTCTCCTCCTTCTCCCTCGTCGTTACCGCCGCCGTTACACGGCGGACTCCTCAGCGGAGCAATCGCCTAGAAAGTCAGTGAAACGATGGAGATTGGAGGAGGAAGATACTATAAAAAGGAGAGCTCTTGCTGAGGGTATCGATATGACGACCGGTAACGAAGACTGCCGGTGGAGTACGTTCTTGTTCTTTGGTGTTAGACGAAATGCACTCTTCACCAGGTCTTGGTTTCCGGTAACCTTTACCGGGCAAAAGAAGTGAGTTTTTATTTTTCATTTTCTACTTTTTCGTTTTTTTATTGTTAAGAAATTTTTTGCTTTATTTTTTAGTTGACAGAGAAATGAGAATATTGGAATAAAAGACTTGAAAGATAGAGCGAAACTTGCATGCAATTTCGGGCTTGATTTTATAATTACGCTGTTTAAAAGTCACTGTTTATGTGGGATTAAATAAGGGATTCTAAAGTAACTAAAGAAGGTAGTTATTTATGTTTTCTATTGGAAATTGCTGTTGCTTAGTAATTGGGTTGGTTTTACAATGTTGGATTTTTGAGTTTCTGGTTGTTCTGGTTCAATCCAAGAAGCTGATGAGATAGAAATGGAATGGATTTGCTTGTTTGCAAAGTGAAAAGACAATCAAATGTTTTCTTTTTCTAAGTATAGCTATTGTTTTGTTGTGATTGATATTTGTTTCATATTTTTTAATATTATTGTATGCAAAAAGATGCTGTTTCTATATGAGAATGAGCATGTTGTGAACTTGGAAAAGTGAAATATTGTTGTATTTTCTGCTCATCAGGCGTTATGTTGAGTGAAAGGATAAAGGGGCTATGGTGCTGCTTCGCTCTGATTAATTGTGGTTTTTGTTCTACATATGACGCATCTTTAGCATGTATAACTTTACCTTCATTTTTTATTTTTTGGTTGCTTCTCCTCGGTGTTGATTCTGTACTGAGATATGAGGGTTGCTTCGTGATTTCAGGGGCATTTTGGTTATTATTCATGGCCTTAATGAGCACAGGTAATATTTGAGGACTTCTGTCATCTTTCGAACTTCTTTTGCGTCTCTAATCTATCCTATTAGTAAAAGATCTTTAGCATCTGAAGCTAATCTGTTTTTTCCCCCGGGTTTTCCAAATAAAAGATCTTTGACTTCTCTTCTGTTTGCCTTTCAATTTTCAGTGGACGATATGCTCAATTCGCAAAGCAACTAACCTCATGCAACTTTGGTGTCTATGCAATGGATTGGATAGGTAGCTAGATTTTATAAAGATGCTCATGTGTTTGGTGTGTTAACCTTTATAGTCAATAGGTTGTTATGAAGCTTCATCCCCAGTTTATTTATAGCATAGGTGTGATTACATTTGCTAAGATCCACTAGAAGGTTCTTTAAGTTGAAACAATGTCGTATCAGTGAATGTGATATTAGTTAGTCTTCACATATTAAAGAAAAGGGACAGATTTTGATAACTCCTTTATTTTGTTTGGAGCATTCCAGGAATGCCTGTTATGCTGATAAATTTTTTGATATCCCTTTCTCTTGGTCCATTACTGCCCCTTTATTCTCCATTTCAGAGGGTTTGTAGTCCAAGTCTCTAGCTTTGCAGTGTGGTAATATGTTTTTTTTTTTCCGTTGTGAAGGTCATGGTGGGAGTGATGGGTTGCATGGATATGTTCCTTCACTAGATCATGTTGTTGCAGATACTGTAAGTTCACTTGTCCATTTTTCTCTATCCTTTGCCAGGAAAACTGTTCTTTATCGCATCCATCCATGGTACTAGAATAAATCTTGAATAATCATTACTGTGTGTCATGACCTGCACTCTGTGTTAAATCATACAGTTCTCTTCCTAAGCATCTTAACAGTTATTTTGTCATTTGCTTGCTTCTTTTCCTGGCCTGGCAGTAAGTTGAACTTGATTCCATCACCAATTTTGTTTAGTTTGGAGGCATTTTCTTAATCATTCATAAAATACCTACAAAACTGATAGGATGAACTTTGCAACTTAATCATGTTTCAACAGGGAGCTTTCTTGGAAAAGATTAAGTCGGAGAACCCTGGAGTACCATGCTTCCTTTTTGGTCACTCAACTGGAGGTGCTGTGGTTTTAAAGGTAATACACTTTCAAAAGAAGAAGTATTCTTTTCTTTTCTTTTCTTTTTTTGAGTCTAGCAGTTTTATTATTAATGTGGAACTAATAAATTGCTTCACTGAGCAGGCGGCCTCATATCCTAACATTGAAGAAATGCTGGAGGGAATTATACTGACCTCACCAGCTTTGCGTGTCAAGCCTGCACATCCTATTGTTGGGGTAAAGTCTTTTCTGTCGCTTAAATCATGATGATTGGGACATTTGAGGGGAAGATTTTATTGACGATAACTATGATATGGTAGATTGTGTTTTCATGGTTAAGGAGCTAAGGTTCAATTCATTGAGTTTTGAATTTGGAATTTGCCAAAGCATGCCATTTTGAAACACTTCAATATTCCAATGCATTGTAGTTAAGCTTCTGTACTGATAACTGTGACATGTTGGATTGTGATGTTCAATTTAACTTTTTTTGTCCCCGTACAGAGGGACTGATGGAATTCTAACTTTTTAATATATGGAACCAAGACAAGTCACAATGCCCTTTAACAATTTTGTTAAGAGTCCATTTTACTTGAATCAGGCCTTTAGAACATCAAGATGCATTAGTTTTAATTTCTGGTTATAAAACGCTCACTTAATATTTTTCATGCAGGCTGTGGCTCCTTTTTTCTCTCTGGTTATCCCCAAGTTCCAATTTAAAGGAGCGAACAAAAGGGGCATTCCAGTTTCTAGGGATCCTGCAGCACTTCTGGCCAAGTATTCTGATCCATTGGTCTATACAGGACCCATAAGGGTCCGCACAGGGCATGAGATATTGCGTATATCCTCGTATTTGCTGCGCAATTTCAAATCTGTGACTGTTCCATTCTTTGTTCTCCATGGAACTGCTGACAAGGTAACTGATCCTCTAGCATCTCAGGATTTGTACAATGAGGCAGCCTCCAAGTTCAAAGATATAAAGCTTTATGATGGTTTCTTGCATGACCTTCTCTTTGAGCCTGAACGTGAAGAAGTTGGTCAGGATATAATCAGCTGGATGGAGAAGAAGATTAGGAGCTGATTCTGAACAAGTTTACAATCACTGGTAGATTTTCTTACAGGATGGTCAAGAGTTTGGCTAGTCATAAGCATAGCTATTTCAGTTGTCAAATTGTGTCACAGGTTTATTCTCATGAAACCGGAACTTGTATTTATGCAAAGATAAAGTTCATAATTAAAAGAAAAAAAAAAGAACTATAATCAATATCTTACATGGTTAAGTTGATAGATCAAAATTAGTAACATGTCTCTACGCATCATACTTGATGCCCTAATATAAAAAAATGGAAACAAGTAATATAAAATTAAAACGAAGTTGCTAGTCATTTAAAGAATTTGTAAGCTCAATTAAGAACTTGATATGGAAATCTTTCAACAACACTAAAGATAACAAGAATGTTGGGTTTTTATTATTAAAAATAATCTAACCTCAAAGATATTTACAAATAGTATTTATAATAAAAAGAATTATAAGTTTATTAGGATATCTCTAATGGTTGTGGATAAATTTAAATAAAATAGTAATAATAATAATAATCAAATAAACTCAAATTTTAATAAAAGCTTTAATAATAATTAAAAAAATAAATAAAACAATAGTCTAATTAATTTAAATAAAACTAGAATTATTTTTGTAATTTGTTGGCATAACCAGAGCTCAAGTTCAAATGCATGGTTTTCTCTTGTTTTAATGAATTAGAAGGCATGTCATATATCACTTGAAAGATATGAATAACTACTTTCCATAACAACTAGAATAGTATTAGAATTTCTTCTACAACTCCAGGTATGACAAAAATAGTAGCTAAAAGTAAAAATTAGTAAATTTAAATCTTCTTGTTCCAATATTGTTGTAATGTTTGAATGTCCACCAATAAATCGTTCTTAAACATGAATTAAATTAATTAAGGTTTTTTCTTCATTATTTAATATCTTTTTGGAGTCTACCTTGACCTATATATCTTAAAGAAGTCCATTAAAAATCTCTTTGAATATTTTAGCCTGAAATTTTGCCACTTAACCAACTAGAACCTCTAATGAATCACTTGGTATTTATTGGATCACACTAAATTTCCCTCGAAAAAACTACATAGTGAAGAGTGAAAATCCATTGAGAGTATCCTCGTCAAGGAAAATGTTCACTACTAGTTAAAAGAAAGGTGGAAAAAAGAATAAATAAAAAAAGAACAGGCTTTTTAAAATGGAAGGAATTGAAAAAAGAAAAGGATGTTTTTTTTATTTCTTTTTCCTTAAATTTCTTTCACCCACTTCTATCTCATTCCAATGAATACTTTTTTTATGTTGTCCTAATTATTTTGTTCATTCAATTTCAATCTTAGATGTCATAATCTAGAGAAAAAAATATTTGTTTACCAAAATATTTATTTTAAAAAATATTGAACAAGTTTCTATTTTGTGATCTAAGCTGCTTTTCAAAATATTTTTAATTTTCTTTACTTGAAAGACATTATATTATTATTATTTTAAGTGTTTTTCAATTATTTTAATATGTTGATGTCAAAAAATAAAAAAATATATTATTATAATATATTTTTAATTATAAAAATAATTTTGCAAAACTATTGAATATCACAACCTAACAAGCTAACACACTTAATGAATGTCACTACTAACATCATATATATGAAATTGACCTAAACACATTTATCAATAAGGTGTTTGTTGTTTTTTTCATATTCTAGGTGGTGTTTGACATAAAGGTAATGATTATTTTTCAAAGTAATTTTCACTTGCAAATACAATGAAAAAAATATTTTTATGTTATTTTTTAAAATTTATTTTCAACATCAACATATCAAACAATTTTAAAACACAAAAAAATAATTTAAAGCAAAAATAATATTTATTTTTTAAAAAAAAAAAACTTAGCCACATCACAATACCAAACATGACCCTTATGGGTCTAAGAAAAAGCTAAAACTAGTCACAGTCTATATAGATCTGGTTATCTTAAACACTTTTTAATTATCATATATATTTTTTTAAATAATTACAACTAATTTGGTTGATAAACTGACATGGATGCCTACCAAACAAAATATAGATTTAGTTGTCTTCAAAAGGAGATATTACTATCCTAAAAAGTCAAAATTTAAATTTAAGATTTAATATATTAAAAAAAATAGTGTATAAGTCGTGCCTTCAATCTTGAATCCATGCTTGAAAATCCAGGAGTGATGCCAAAAGGAACACTCACCTATGCTAAGCTTCCCAATATATATATCATAAATCAAACTATACAAAATACATAAAATTTCATAAAATTTCAAACATTCTTCCAAATAAAACAAAAATAGATAATAATCTATAATACTTATTATAATATCAAAATCTAATATTTAATTAAAATAGTATAATAGTGGAGTACTCTAAGACATCAAATAAGAAACTAAAAGGAAAGCTTCACGGAAGCAAGCAAGGTATACCAACAAAAAAGATGAAGAAGCAGAAACTCTCAACAAAGTCGATCTGCTAATAAAAATTAAAAACCTAAAAATAATATTAAAAGTAAATGGTGAATTCAACAAACCCAGTAAGATTATAACATTTAATATACATTATAAATATTTATAAGTTAAAGACCATAAATTGTGATACAATAAAATTATAAGAATTAAAACAATCCAACACACACACACTAAACATAATAGTATATTATAGTGGAATATAGGTCAAATAAATGCAAGAGGATCAGTTGTCATAAGTTGGTGCCTCTCACCAACTAGGTATACATATTACTATATGCATATAGCTTAACTACTTTCTATTAGTTTGAAGTTATTGTCAAGTACACTAATATCAAAACATAATATATACTTGTAAAGTTATCAAAGCAAATGAATATCATAATGAATAAAATTTAATTCAACAAAATACGAGTGCAAATTAAAAAATAGATAAATATCTAGAAACTAAAGGAACATATACAAATATTCAAGAATTAACCAATTATACTCATCATATAATCAATATACAAGTATTATTTTTATTACATTCGTATTAAATATTATTGCACTCACCCGGAAAATAAAGTAAAAAACAAACAAATGCAGAATTAAAGACTACTTAGGATTGCTAGCATGAATGTCAGCATAATTTATAACAGATACAAAAACATTAAAAAACAACTCGAAGTGGATACATAAAATATTACAACTCTAAGCTTAAAAATCAAAATATAATTATAAAACCATATTAATTCACCCTATCAATCTCGAACATGTCCCAAGTTAATCAAATTTAAAAGAACTGATCGAATCTCACTACTCAATCAACCTGCAAAACAAAATAATCAATCGATCAATGCCACCACAAGCCAACTGGCTGACCAGTTAACATTAACAGGTTGGCCAGTTGATCAAGATTTTATAATTCTTATCTATCAAAGGTTGGCCAGTTGATCAAGATTTTATAATCCTTATCTATCAATCTATCAAATTGAAGATCTGAAGATAATTAACAAGTTCTTCAAAAACTTGTAATTCTAGTTTTCAAATTAGTTCGTTTTAAGCTAAACTAACACCCTAAACATTTATTAAACCTCTTAAATTATCTAAACCCTAAAATTAAGCCAATAAATTTAAGCATAAAACATCAAGATCTTACCTTAAAACTTTTATTACCAATTTTCACTTCTTCCCCTTTGTCCCTCCTTTCTCCTTTCTCCCTTCTCCCTCCTTCTCCTCTTCATATTTCGGCTCTCTACAAATCTAATCTTTTTTTCTTTTTTAGCGCATATATATATATATATATATATCAAATCAAATCATATGAATTGTCTAATTGTGCATGAACCATTAATACCCGTAATAATGCACACAAGGGTATCATTGACTTTTCAAATCTATTTTGTTTTTATTTATATTTTGGACATTACAGTATATGATAATAAAATGTATCTTAATAAAAATCTCAGGCTATAAGCTGTAAAAATAATCAAGAGCTGCAGCAAACATGTAAAACAAGAGAAGTCAGTCTAATTTTCTCAAACCTTTAACTGCATCCTCCAGTCTCTCGCCCATTTGCTGCAGTGCCATACTTTCTCACCAGCTCATCCAATACCAACCCTGCCACTGGATGAACGTTGAATGACCATTCGATCACACACCCATCTTGACCATTATCACCTTGTGGGACAACCTTGACCGTTGAAACATATGACTTGAACCCAGTATTGCTGTCAACTATCTCATAGCTCAAGCTACGGTCAACATGATCAACAACTGTTACTCTCTCAGAGGACCAGCTAACAGGCCAGCTGTGGCCATCTGTATTGGTGTCAGTGGACGGAATCGAGGAGCCCTCACAGTGTCTTATGCAACCTGGCTCACCGTGAGTCCCTCAGAAATATTTTACAATTGTTAAAGTAATTAAAAAAATATATCAAAATAGTATATTTGTATTTTATGTTATTAATGTTTAAAAACATCATAAATATAATAAAATCATGTTAAGAATTGATTAGAGTATTTTAAGAATAAAAATATATTGGAATTGAATTCAAGTGAACAATTTATTATTAGTATTATTATTTTTATGTTAGATATATAATGATTGAAAACAAATTATTAAAACTCAAATACATATTTATAATAACATTTAAGCATCATGTCAAAACTAAAAAGTTAAGTAAATTTAGTAAATTGTTTTCGGATTAATGCCAAAATCAAAACAAAGAAAAAATATAAAAAGAAATAAAAGGTTAGCCCTAGCGTGTGGCCTTGTTTTATTATTAGTTTTTTTTTTTGCATCTATCTCTTTTTTTCGGCCTTGTTTTATTATTAGTTTTTTTTTTTTTTGCATCTACCTCTTTTTTTTTTGAAAAAAATAAATAAACAACATTTTATCTCTTAAAAAATAATATTACTAATAGGATTTAAGCTTGTGACCTCTTAACTCTTCTTGTGTGTAGATCTACAATACTAAATTATCATAAACAAATCTAAAAACATATTAAAGTGCTTTATTGTTCATCTAAATAATAAAGCACCAAAATAACTTCCAATATTTTTAGAGTGTTATGATAATATATATTTTAATGATTCAAAATCCAAATTCTGGAAAAAATAAGAAAAGATTGGCCTTGATCAAGTCAAGGTTTTTTTTTTTTTTTCAATCCACACTAGTCTCATACCACCAACAGAAATGAGCATGATTATA